TTTTTGACCTTTCTGCAAAAGGTTATTCATTTATCTGGCAACACTCCTGATTGAAAAGAGAATTTTTTTCACAGGTTGTGCTGCTTATAGGTCAACTGTTTACCTCACATCTTGGTCAGAAGTTGGATGGGACTCCTAAATTTATTAAAAGTAGGAACTCTTCTTCCTGAGAACATTTTCGTTCTGAACAGTATTTATAGCACTTTCAATCTGATAGTATTACCTTTTTTTGATGACTTATGCTGTGCATTTTATTAAATGATAGAATGGATCCTTTAATTTCAGTGGTTTGTCCAGGTTCTAAACATCTTATGACTTCACTTGGCTGTTAGTGCAAGTTCTTACCTGGAAAGACAAGATATGTCCAATATTGGTTACTTCTGAGGATGTGGCCAGAATTCCATAGGTCAGTAAGGGGCCATGACATGCTTCCAACATCTACATTTTTTCTACTAGTAAAAACTTTGAATTAGCTAGAAGTTTAAAATATAAGTTTTAAATCCTTTTTTATCCAAGTCTATACAATAAAATACCTTAATTTAATTGATTGTTGAGTGGCACATGTCTGTTTTAGCCATATATATATTTTGAAAAGCTCTTGTTTCTAGAGACTTAAGATTTTTGTTTGAGAAAAATATTGTTGAATGTGGGAGAATTTCCATTTGTAGTCTCAGAAGTATAAACCTGAAACTGTGAGAGCTAAACAAATGGACAAGTAGAGTATATGTATAGATAAGAAATAAAATATTTAGTATATGCACAGTGAGTCTATGGATCCATGCTCCATCTCTGCTGTTTATTATCTTATCCTTAAGCTTAGCAACACTATATACTTGAACAATGTGTATTGCTGTGTTTTTGTGTTAGCGTGATATATGCAGAACTATGCCTCAGAATCTATATGATATAGCCAAAACAGCTTGACATGGCACAATTTGGGTGATTTGCAGTTACTTAAATAGAATATAACATCCCTTTTCTTATGCCATGGGATGTGCTATATGCCCCTCAAGTTTTGCGTAGGGTGTTTTTGTTCAGTTGCACACCTCATTCAGAAAACATTAGAATACATATTTAAGCATATTTTAACTATTTCTTTGATTGGACTGGTGATTAAATAAAGAATATGACCCAGGATGCATTGTGGTTGATGCAGGGTTAAGGAGGAAATAATGATGTGGACAAATACTATCTATTGATTGATTTACAAATTCCCAAGAGTATCAGAAACTAACCTGATGCATCTGTTGCTAGATTTTACCTTTTAATTTCTGAGTTGTCTCTAACGCGTGAAGTTGTATATCAGTGGGTCTGTTAGTTGTGTTTTTTGAAGAACCTTGTATTTCTTATTTCAGGCACTACATTAAATTTCTAGTCTTTATGAAATTTATGCCCATTTTCACAGAAGTTAACAGTTTGCATGCGTGTGTGAGATCACCAAGGCATGTCCCTTGTTTGTAATTTTCATGTATTCATTCACTGGCATCTTGGAACCCTGTAACTATTTAAAATAAATACTTTTGAAAACAAGTTGTCTAACATGGCTAAAGTACACAGCAGAAGCAGTCTAAGCACATCACTATTTATTCATTTAATTTATATGCTGCCCTTCCCAATAAATGCTCAAGGTGGCTTACAGTAAAAGACAAAAATATAGAAACAGAGAAAAATATTAAATAAGAAGGTTGAACAAAATAAACTTGTACCCCAACTTCCATGACAGTTAAAAGCTTTCCATCCCAACCTTTCCTGCACCACTGCCTCTGACAAAGGAGAACATCACTCCCCTGCCCAACCTAATCTTGCATCCCAAACAAACTCCATTCAATATCTCCATAAAAGAAAAGAATAATTTATGCCCCCTGTATCTCCTTCCTTCCCTATCCACTCCCACTCCAGGTCCCCTCCCTCACACCCAGGGGAGTTCCCTCTTCGTCTTTACTATCCCTTCCAGTCTTTGTTGTAGCTCATGGTCAGACCTGAGATCAGAACTGAGGTTCTGATGTTTTGACAGTTATCAGAATCTGAAGAATTTCAGTATTTTAAGACCCACTTTTTCCGTTTAGAGACAAAGGGCAAAAATCCCTTTTGCAAAGGTTAGCTTAGAACAAGATATGGATAAGTTTCAAACCGCTTAGGTTTGAAATTTTTTTTTTTTTTTTAAACTGGAAGATTAATGGAACTAGAATTTCAGAGATCATGGAAATTTGCTGTGCTTTCAGAGAGGGAGATTTACTGGATTTCTCAAAATTCTAAAAACCCTGTTATGTGTGCTGTGTAATATATAGAGAAGGCAGCTTGCAGAATTTCTGGCATCTTACTACTTGCATTTTTGTAGAAACTCAAAGGGTGCTTCTGCAATGATAGGTGAAAATGATGGTATTGTAATAGGAAAAATATTGGGGTAGCTAACATTGTATTTCTCTATAATGTTCTATAAATCACTTCATATGTTTGTGGTACAGTACATAAGAATACTCTTTGTGAACCCTACTGTGAGATACGTAATTGGTGAAATACAGTGTGGCAGGGTATGCATACAGAGGAGACCCTTAAACTGATCTTTAAACTGGATGACATGGGTCAGAAAATAGTTTGGGCATAGACAGATGTACCAGTTGCATTGCTATCCAAGGAAACCAAACACAGCTGTTACAATGCAGCTGTCATGTTTGCATGATTCTGTAGTGATACAGAAGCAAAACTGCTTGGACTTGAACTTTGATATATTTAGGGTCAAAGTTAGGACAATTTAGCTGACTTGTATTGACCCAGGATCATGGAGATGTAACAGCAGCAGCTCCTCTTCCCCTTTTAAAGCAGTAAAATATGTTTGTCTGTGCCCTCTTTTTGCAAAAGTTGAACAGGGATTAGTAACCACTGATGCTGCTACTGAAGTCAGAAACCCCTGGCACTCTTGCCAGAGATAGCATGTAAGCAGTCTGATTTGGCCTCTCAAAGTGAAACTGATAAAGATGCTGTCAGTTTTGCTTTCTGGCTGTGGAATAGAGTAGAGGCAGAACTGTGAACAAGGAATTGGGAAGATGCCAGCAATTAGGGAAGATGTGGACAAGGAGAATAGGAGTAACCAGAAAGCAGAAGATGTACACGTGATTAGAAGGTAAAATATCTTTCTGCAGAAGTGTCGTGTGTGTGTTAAACTATGGTAGTATGAGAGTGATGTTATAGTCTTGATGGCCCAGAAATTATGCGAGAGGCAAGGATTTCTTAGGGTGATATCTTTTATTGGGCCAACTGTGTATTTTGGATCAAGATAGACAAGCTTTCAAATGCAAGCCAGTAGTTAAGGTTTTACTGTACAGGTAGATGTTGGCATAATATGTGAAATTTAAATGTAAAGATTCCAGGAAATAATGATGTGCATTCCTGGAATTTAGAACAATATGCCTAATATTAAGCATCTGAATAGCTTCATTGGCTATAGTGGGACTGTTTAACGTACTTAAAGACGGGTAGAAGATTAAGTAACTCCCCGATTCTAGGTATTAATAATGGCTTAATTTTTCAAACATTTAAGTATGGCAAGAATGGGATACAAAACTCAAAAATTTTGCACCCCTCTTGTAGTAGAGAATTATGCTTCTGCAGTTGATGTTTTCATCATATTCACTTGAATATTTGCTTCTAGGGTAAAATATTTTGCAGTTAAAATGTTTTTTCACTTTCTTGCTTCTGTTTTCTCATTTCATATATTTTTGTATATACATTTTCTACTTCCCTTTTTCCTTGAATAATTTGGTAGTACACACAAGGTTACATTAAAAACCAGTTGTACATGTTAAAATGAGAATTAACATCCCTCATACTCTCCTTTATAGTATAAAACATCTTGTTAAAGAGCAAGGCAGAGAAATTATTTAATTGAAAGTAGTGTAAACTATGCATTTTCATGTAGTTTAATGGTCATTGTTTATTGTAATAAAAATCACAATAACTTTGATAACTGTGAGAAAAATAATCTGGAAGTTAGCGGAAGTTTGTTCAATTAGAGATGAAAATAATAGAAAGAAAGAGACTTTCAAGCGGGTTACATTTGAACTAATTATACTGATATGTTAATATAGATACTACATTTTTAAGTGTTGTTTTTAATCTATTATTCTCTTGGCAAATTACAATTAAATGAGAAAAGTTTATCAAAATACAAGTTGTTTTAAAATAGTAAATGTGGTTAAAAATTGCATTTGTCCTCACAAACCAAAGTGAAGATTCCCTTCATTACATTTTTTAAACTGCCTTCTGAGTGTGATGTAGTAAATACATTTTAAATGCCCTCAAAATTGGGATTTAAAATTTTTTCTTATGAATATGTTGGAAAACTTTCTTGGACTTTTGTATAGTTAGTTATACATTGACTTTAAAAATGCTGAGATTTGAAAAATATGCACATGTGAATAAGGATACAATAGATCAAGAATCAAACATGAGCCTGCTTAAATAATTCTCAAGATTTTCTGGTTCACGTGTAGTGATATTGAACTCTTTAGTCACAGGCTTTAATTTGTGCATGGTGCTGACCTGATGCTGTGCAGGGACACTCACTGCATCCCTTCATTCAATTCACTCTAATTATCCCCAACTTCCTGGGGAGCCTGCTTAGAACTGGCCATGAATGTTTGTTATTAAGTATTAAGATATTAGACTACATGTAACAAAGTAGTTTTGAGCTGTGTATTTACATATAGATGATCAATATAAGAAATTGAAATTATATTTGTCATGAATTTATTTAATCAATTTTAAAATATATATTGATATAATAAAATGTCTTGACGATGACTTGCGCTTGGAGTAAATTAAATGAGATTTAATGTCACTGAGTTTTGGTACAGCAATTGCTTGCAATTTCAACACACCTTTTAGAAGTGGATGCGGTATGTAAATTATCTTTGAAACAATCAGATTTGTGTGCATATTTCAGGGTGATGGTAATTATTTTTGCTGGGAGCATCTGTTAATGCAGGATTTTGCCTCTTCAGGTGCATGTGAAAATGGCGGATGAAGCTGTCTGTGTTGGCCCAGCTCCCACCAGCAAAAGCTACCTCAACATGGATGCCATCATGGAAGTCATTAAGAAAACCAGGGCCCAAGCTGTGAGTCTGAATGAGTCTATCTGCTGCAGCTGTTTCATATATAGAAAGCAGAAAAGCCAGAGTTTGTATTTAAAAAAAAAAAAAAGTGATTGAATATGCTATTCCAGTTAGTTCATGTCACATGAGTTAAATGTGTCCGAAATCGCTACTGGAAATCAAAGGCTTTGTAGCATCTGGCAGTGCTGGTCGCTGATCCTGCAGGTGGCTGCTGGATTCAGCTTTCACACCAGGGAGCGGCTTCAGTTCATTTCCAAATTTGCTGGGGGAAAAAAATCCCAATTAGTTTTGAGCACTAACCCTTTCTGTGCCATAACAGCTTTTTTTGAATGTTTTGATAAAGTGCGTCTAAAAAAGACTTTTGTTGAAATTCAATTTTAATCATTTAAAAAAAAATTATACACACATAATTACACTTGCAAAGAGGGAAATGGTGCATCCAGTAATTATTTTTGTTGTTTCATAATGCTGACAAAATGCACATTAGCTTACATGGGTAGATATGGGCTGTTCCTGCCTTCTTCCTGCCTCTAAATGGATGAGATTCAAAGTTGAACAGGAATCATATAAGAACAAATATGTGACTGACTGTAATAATACTTTTTGCCATGGTACCAGTGAATTAAATATATTATCTGAAGCTACTGTATACAAAAACATTTTTAAATAAAATGTGATGGATGGAGTCAGGCAACACCAGTAATTACCATGGAATATCTTAATCGGCATTATCACTTCTTTTGATATAAATGCTTCAATGTGGTGCCTGCAGGGGCAAAAAGGGTCCTGAATTTACAAACACATAAGACAGATGTTTACACTATTTGTGAAGAGGCAATGGAGATAAAAACAGTGTATTCTTTAGTCATTAATCTATTACAATATTTTTTTTGGTTGAGAATTTGTATGAATCGAAAACAGTGAAGTGAAACTGTTCCCTACACTGTGTTTTGTAATTACAATGGGTTTATGAAAGAGTGGCTGATAGCACACTGTGTGCCTGCTTTTGATCCCAAGGCGCATGACTTATTCCCTAGGGGTGGTGGAGCATGTTCTCCCATTGGGAATCCCTAAAGGTTAGCAGTGGTAGAACTTCCTCTAATATGGGCATTAGGACAATTATTAATAGCTAATACTTGGGAAAGGTTTTGTTTGGTATGGAGAGCTTCTGGGATCTTTAAGACAAGGCAAGAAAAAGCATGAATGAGGGTAAATGTATGAGGGCATTTCAGAAAGTAACAGGAATTTCAGAATAGAAGTATTTTATGTGCAACGAGTAGAAAACTACACAGCAGCAGGGATCACTAGTGGTGGCATTGTTGACCACACCTGTTGTACACACAACTTTGTAGAGAAGTGACGTGGTCCAGTAAATGATCACCGCACACAAAATTGTCTTATTTCAAAATTGCTGTTACTTTCTGAAACACCCCTGTAGAAATCTGTCAAATCAGAGAAATGTCACATAGAGGAGGAAAAATGGAAACATGACAAAGACCATCTTTTCCTTTTCTAAAGGCATCAGTACATTTTATCAATCATAGATAAAGTGCTGCTTCAAGAAAGCTGAAGAAGACCTGAAGAAAAATGCATTGCATTCAAAAGTGCTTTTTAAGTCTATCCCAACCATACAGTTGGTCCAATGAAAGATATCACTCATAAAAAATCCTTGCCTCAGGAAAGGTCATTTCAGTCCATTACATGTCAGTAGATGTGATTTGGGATTTCCAAATCAGTGAATTTAAATGGCGGGTGAACAGTTAAACTCTTGAGCTAATTTAAATAATCGGCGCACAGATTACTGCCTTAAATTATGACTGCATATTTAGTTTCCAGTTTTTAGATTTGAATTAAAAAACTTTATTTTATTTTTAAAGGTCCACCCAGGATATGGATTTCTTTCAGAAAACAAAGAATTTGCTAGGCGTCTGGTAAGTTGTTGTGGCAAATTTCTTTTAGCTTTTAAACTTTTGCATGGCATGGGAAAATGTATTGAGAGAGCACCTTTTCTGGAAACCTCTATCACCCTATGTAGATGACTGAAAATGTTGTTGCTTCATATCCCTTCTAAGTTGTATGTACTCCAAAGGAACAAAACAAATGTTTTGATTTGAAGTTGCAGAATCAAAATCCCGATTTTATGTGGGATGTAGAAAACACTTCTGTAATAAAGGAATTCTGTGGTTTTTAGAGAGAGACAAAAGTAGCTTAATTGACAGCTCTATTTTATTTTTATTTGGTGAAATATATGAAGCACAAATGTATTAAAAAGATATCCCCATTTCAAGTTTGAATTTATAAAAAATACTTAAGCATGTGAATGTATTATTGTAGCTCATCTTTTTATCTGACAAAGCTGACTAAAATTTATTTAAGTGGTTTAGTAAATCTATTTTAATGGTTCAACCAAGCGCTTAGTTCTACAGATGCTTAGGAATGTGTATAGTCCTCGCAAAGATATATGTGTGTATGTGTGTGTATATATATGTATAAGGGCTTTTATCTTGGACCTAGAATGAAGGAAATTCACTTGCACCCATTTAAGACAATGGTGATCTCCCACTGTTTTTAGTGATGCAGAATCTAGACTTATTTGAGAAATGGACTGGAGTCAAACTTTTAGGGGAAAATTTGTGCTTCATCCATGGAACTTTGTTACTAAATGAAGAATGGCAAAACATAAGGCAAAACTCTTTTATGTTTAGGTAGCAAAGGAATATTTTTTTTAGCATTTCAAAATCCGTATTTGAGTGCCCTTTTATTCAGATTTGAACAGTAGTGTCACTTCGGGGGTTGAGTTGAAGCAGTACTCTGAATACTGATTCAGAGAGGGCACCAGAATGGCATCCCCCAGGCAGCCTGTGATTGGCTTAAGCTGGGGCAGCTGTAGTCAATGCTGTTGCCACAACTGCAGCAGGCCCTGCATGTGCTAGGGCCCCCGGTGCTGCCCAGCATGCCAGAGTTTTAATTTATACTCCTGAGTTTGAAGCTCTGGTATAAGCCACATATAGAAATGGAGAAGAGTTGTGATTTCTCAGATAACACTGCTATAAATGGATCTTGGTTCTCTTAGCTTTACCTGATTTGTAGTCCTTATGTTCAGGATTTCAGCTGTGGCATGGTGCTTTGCCTGCTGACCTATTCAGTGTTATAAGATGCCATCCCTTTACCTAAGAAAATATTATTTATATACAGAATACAGGACTTGTAAGTTTAGCTGCCATGCTAGAAAAGGATACAGGCAAATACCATATTTACTTGATTCTAAGACAAGGTATTTTTGCCTGTTTATCATGGGGAAAATAAAGCCTCATCTTTAGAACTGAGTATCAGACCACTCCAGCTGGGAGCTGTGGCGAGTGGTGTGCAGAAGGCCTCACCAGGTCAGGGATTCATTCCATCCTTCCAATCATCATTGGTGCTCAGGTTTCTGCTTCCAGCACACACTCTATGCACGGCTCTCTAGCCCCTCCCCACCCGCTTCCTTCCTTACCCCAGTTTACCTCGCTGGCAAGGAACCAGGCGAAGAAGGTGGCTCTGTGCACTGTTGCTGCAATCCTCAGCTGAAGTCCCTGCACAGCTGCCCCTGATAGCTCCTGGCTGGAGAAGTCTGACTCCTAACTGATGCAGGAATGGAAGGAGCTCCAGAGCCACTCCTGACCTGTGCTGCAAGGAGCAGCTGTGGCAGTGCATAGATTCCTCATTCCAGCCTGCTCCCAACTGGTGGAGGAGATGAGGGGAAGTGTGGGGAGAGGAGCTGGACAGGGAAGGGAGGAACCCTTGTGCTGCTGAGCTGGGTTACCTGCAGAGCTGCTTTCTGCAGTATGGGACAGGAGCGAGTCAAGGGTGGCTCTGGAGCTCCCCACTGTACCTGGATTAGCCAGGGGCAGCAGCAGAATAGTGGGGGATAAGTGGTGGAGAAGGCTAAGGGGTAGGGGTCAGGCTGCCTGTTCCCCAAGCTACCTGCCTCACTGCTACTCCCCCCTTCACCCCTTGCCTCTACAGGTCTCCCCTGCCACTGCTTTCTCCGCTTCTAAACCCCTTACCTCTGCTTTCCCTACCGCTTGCCCCTTGCCAGTGCTTTCCTGCTACAGCACTGCAGAGGACAAATTTAAGATGCCCCTCCAATAATTAGATTCTAGACATGGAAAATGTTAATAAATCTATAATTATCCATATCTAGAATCTAATTATGGATGGGGGGTCACCTTAAATTCTAAGTGGTCTTGGATTCAGGTAAATATGGTAAAACAAGATCCCAAATTTTGTATCCTGCAAGCCACAGAGCCTTTTCCTCCTTCTCCAGTTGGGCATTTGCCATCTACCAGGTTTGACCACCAAATCTATGAAAATCTTTCAGTTTCCAAGTTTACAGTCAGTAGCTATCTGTTTTACTTGTTCATACTGCATAAAGGAATGCATGTAGGTCAGAGCTCAAAATAGCTCTTAGTAGATGGGCTTCTCTTGGCTTTAATTTTAAGTGAACGGTATGCCCACTTGACTACTCCAGCAAAGGTTAGCTGGTTTTAGTTGGCACTTTTCATAAAAAGGCAATGGAAGCGCTTGCTCATGATGAATAACTGTTACATTATGTTCTGTTGCCACTCTTTGAAATGTTGTCATTATCCCAAACTGGACATATTTTTTAGTAATGTGGTAGTTACTTTTTCATGTAGATAATAGTTTTAATGGCAAGATGGATCACTTTTGGCAGTATGAAGTAGAATAAATGAAAGAACATTTTCCCCCATTTATAGATATTCATAAATATCTCAGAGACAGCATACAGCATCTAGAAACATTCAGATCTGGTTGATTTAAAAACCTGCTAACTTTTTTTTTTTTTACTATTTATTTTATAAGTTCTTCTCACACCATTGTTACACAAAGCCTTAATATGATTTATAATAGTTTGGCTTATAAATTGTTTAAACTACATGTTGCTCTTAAACCCTAATCCTATCGCATTGAAATCGCTGGTTGTAAAAACAAAGCCAGTCAGAAGTTTTCAGTGGAATGAGGTAGCCCAATTAATCTATTTAGGATGGAAATTGATGTGTAATTAATACATTTAAATCTAACTCTGTCATTATACCCTCTCCTAAATGTTTATGTAGTAGCATAGATTTTCATTTTTGTTCTCATTGATTGTTCTTGCGCTTTAATGATAAAACACAATTTTATTTCGTGACACATGGGTATACTTCAGAAACCATATCTCACAGATCCAGAAAGATGAAAGGAAAACTGGCCAGGGAGAAACAGCAGCTCTAGGCTGGGCTGGGTCACGGCTGCAGGACCTGGAGTGGGAACAGAAGATAAGGGGGGAAGGGGAGGCAGTCGCAGATGCAGCAGGCCGGGGGCTGGGGGGGCAGGCTGCAGGACCTCTTGTCCCACTCCACAGTCTTCCCCATGCTCCTGGCCACATGTCCCTTCCCTTGCCAAACAAGTAATTCAAGCCTGGGACCAAAGCCAAGCTGAGTTGGTGTCTAGGCTTAATTTTTTCCATGCTGATTTTTTTCCATCTTGGATTTGAGTAGTAACATTCAGTAGTCTTAAATGTCCTGATCAAATGTGTTTTTGTACAAATTGTTTTCCAGTTTTTTACCTTGGGTTCTTGTGTTTCCTGGTAGCAAAGAAACCAAGTGGGGGGTCATCAGTATGACGATTGTAAACAAATCCTCTTCAATTTTGACAATAGAACTTTTAAAAGTGGAAATATTTTCTGCATCTGAATATCTGGGGCATTTTTAGAAAGGATCCCATCAAAACTTGGTGAGCATGGTCACCTCTCTAGGTTTTCCATTCTATCTTTTCTGTATCAAAGTGAGTAGATTCCATATCATTGTAGATTCCGTATTGCCTTTCACAGATGTTAGAAGGCATAATTTTTTGATTCCTTATGATCTTTTAATATTAAGGGAAAATCGGCATGAACACTGAAATTTGAGGTTTGGTATATCATTTAAATATAACTGAATAAATCAATAAGATTTCTGTTGTCATTTAAGTGTGTCTAGTTTTTTAGAATCTTGTTTTACATTCTAATGTTACTTTGAAGATTTGCATTTTCCATTATATAACTCTTTAAACTTTAGACATCTTAGAATGATCTGTTAACTGAAGCTGTTTAATTCAGTGCACAAATAGGTCATCATTTGTATATGAAATTATAAGCATAAACTACAAGTGATCAACTTGAGTTTTATTGGGAGAGTAATTGAATAACAGTTTGGATTGACAGAAATCTAAGGATACAGCTATGACATTTCTTTTTCCAATAAGTCCTCATATAAGTTTCCAAATAAGTCCCCAGAACCAGATGGCATCCACCTGAGAGGTCTGAAGGACCTCAAAAGTGAAATTGCAGAACTGTTGCCAATGGTATGTAACCTGTCATTACAAATTGCCTCTGTGCCAAAGGACTGGCAGATTGCCAACATAATACCCATCTTCAAAAAGGGCTCCAGAGGCAGACCGTCCCTAGGGGTGTGTGGGGCCTGGGGCATATCGGCCTGTGTGGGGGGCAAGCAGCTGGAGCCAGTGGAGCGGGGGTGGTGAGCGGGGGGAGGGGGTGGTGAGTGGCTGGAGCCAGCAGTGCTTGGCAGTGGCATGTGGCGGCTGTGGCAAGGCCTATGCGGCACTGACCGCGGGGCCCAGGGCAGTTGCCCTGATTCGCCACTCCTCCTAGGGACCGCCCTGTCCAGAGGTGATTCTCAGAGCTACAGACCAGTAAGTCTTTCTTTTATCCCTGGCTAGTTGGTAGAATCTATAGTAAAGAATAAAATCAGCAGTCACGTAGACAAATGTGTTCTGCTAGGGAAGAGCCAATGTGATTTTTAAGGTAGGTGAATCCTGTCTCACAAATCTGCTGGAATTCTTTGGTGGTGCTTATAGGTGTGTGGACAAGGGGGATCCAGCTGACATAATA